TCAAAAAGGTATTGTGTTATAAACATATATTTTTGGTTGTAATTATCAGTTAATATGTCCATCACATAACTAAGTATATGTCAGTATTCTTATTTGATATGTATAATTGCGTTTTGGGTTTGAAATCTTGTGTATTGTATTAGCTGTCATGCAGGCACTGTCAAACGCCGTTTCCTAGCTAACAATATTACGTAGTTTGTACGTTGTGCTATAGTTATTATCGTATATCAATTAGTACCGTTTAGTAATTCTGTTAACTTTTGTTATTTCAGTTTTCACATATGTGTATTGTGTGTATGTTCAACTTGATATTCATCATATAATCAACTTAGAATTGTCTGTCAACTAAATGATGATATAAAGAGAATTCATTGAACCCTAAAACTTGTATGTTGAATTTGTTGATTATTCCGGTACACATTTAGTAAAAAGCTTGCGACTTAATCCCAGAAGATTGCGCAGAGCATCACACCTCTGTTCATTTGTGTTAGGCTGCCTGCGTAACGAGGTGTGCTGTTACAGTGAAAACTTTATTCACATCTTTGCGAGTGATGGTATTTTTTGTGCGAACATTTTATTGTAAAACATTTGCGTGCGTAGGCCAATGTATAAGCCTATTTATTTTGCGAACTCTTTGAATCTAGCCCTGTGTGTAAACTTGTAGCTGTTTCTCCTAATTTGCGTATATTGAGGTACAGAAAAGATTTTTGCGATGGAGTCAAGTCATTCAACTAGAAGATCACACAGCCAATCTTCGTATAGGACAAGAAGTTGTGCGTCAAGTTCATCACGTTATTCAAAGAAGATTGATCTTGCTGCAGAGGCTGCTGCATTAAAGTCGAAGTTGAAATTTATTGATGTCCTTTCACAGAAACAATTAGAATTAAATCGTTTAGAAACAATTAGAGATATTGAAATTGCGGAAGCCAAGTTAGATGCTATTGCGAAAATAGAACAAGAGGATGATAGAACAAGCCGTGCCATTGATTCTGCATTGTCTGCAGATAAAACTGAATACGTTCAAGATTATGTGAACACTTTGCACAATTCTGAGTCTGAACCGGTCAAATTGAATAACTCATCAAATCTACCTGTAACTCCAAATGCTACTACTGCGACAAATTGCGATAACAGACCTACTAATTTTGCGTCAACACCTGTCTGCGAAGCTCAACGTGACTTTGTGCGTGCGACCTCCAGCGATATTGAACTTACAAATCGTGCGTCTGCGTTAGATAGAGATACTGACAAGAATAATTGTTCACCTGTAACTTGTGTTGAAGATAATGACTTTGCGTTTGCGAGAGTTTATGATACAGGAGTTAATAATTCTGCGTTTGCGTCATCCTGTAGCATTGAACTTAGTCATTCTGTGTCTCATCCTCTTTATACCCCTTCAACATCTCAAATTAACCCTTATGCGTTGCGTTCTCAAGAAACCTGTTCAACAGTTTATTCAAGTCAACAACCGAATCCTGTAATGTCAACAAAGCCAGCTTATTACATTCCTACAAGGTCAATTAATGAAGATGATCCGTTAGTCAGAGTAGCACAAGTTTTTGCGGAACATGCGAGTTTCAGTCGTTTACCCCCTCCTGAGCCTGGTACATTCTCTGGAGACCCGTTAAAATACCCAAGTTGGAAAAGCGCGTTTCAAACTTTGATAGACCAAAAGGACATTCCTGTTTCAGAACGAATGTATTATCTTAAGCGTTATTTAAGTGGATCTGCGAGAGAGTGCGTTGAGAATTATTTCCTGTTGTCGACTGAAGATGCGTACGATGAAGCCAAGAAACTTCTTGATGATAGATTTGGTAATTCATTTGTCATTGCCAATGCGTTTCGCGATAAACTTGATGCTTGGCCTAAAATTCATTACAGAGATGGAATAGGTTTGCGGAAATTTTCTGATTTTTTGCGTCAGTGTGAAGTGGCGATGCGGACTACTAGAAGTTTATGTGTTTTGAACGATGATAGGGAAAATAAGAAATTACTTAAGAAACTTCCTGATTATTTAGTATCACGATGGGCACGTATTGTCCATGACTGGAGAATTGAGAGAATGACATTCCCTCCCTTTGTTGAATTTGCGAAATTTATTGATAAAGAATCAAACATTGCTTGCGATCCTGTAACATCTTTACAACAACCTGGAAAGGAGTTAAATCAACCAGATTCGTTAAGGTACAATAATAAATCAAGCTGGTCATCAGATAAGTCACATTTTAGGAGACCTCCTGGAAATGTTGGTTCATTTGCAACGAACTCGTCAGAAAACTATATACCCTCAAGGTCGAAAGTTTATGAAAATGCGCCAAGGCAACCTGTTTGTTTCTTCTGTAAAGATCCACACATTTTGGATAGATGTTCTGTTTTTCTGAAGAAAAGAATTGATGATAGAAAAGACTTTCTAAGAAACAACAAATTATGTTTTAGTTGCTTAAATCCTGGACATTATTACAAGTTTTGTCGTAGAAGAAAAACATGCGATATATGTAACATGTATCATCCAACAGCTTTACATGGTGATGTGCATGAAAGAACTGATACATCAGAAAGGCCTGCAACTACAAGTCATAATTGTAAATTGGACATTAGCGATAAATCAAGTCATTGTTCGATGATTCTTCCTGTGTGGATTTCCCATATGTCAAATCCAGAATTAGAATGTCTTGTATATGCCCTTTTAGATACTCAGTCAGACTCTAGTTTCATTTCAGATACTACTTGCGATCGGTTAGGTATCGATGGACCCCACATACAGTTATCATTATCAACAATGTTTGCGAAAGATATGCGAGTAGATAGTCGTAAAATGACTGGTTTAATTATCAGAGGACATAACTGTGACATTAAAATTCCTTTGTCAACTGCGTATACAAGAAACGAAATACCTGCTAATCGTTCTCATATCCCTACACCTGAAATAGCACGTAGGTGGCCTCACCTTGAAACAATTGCGAATAAATTAATGTCACTGAACTCTTGTGAGATTGGTTTGCTTATTGGTTATAATTGTTCCCGTGCGTTATTACCTCGTGAAGTTATCCCCCCTGTATTGAATGAACCCTTTGGTCAGAAGACAGATCTTGGATGGGGAATTATTGGTAATGTTGATCCAGACATAAATAATGAACTTAAATGCGATGAGTTTATGTTTTGTAGTCATAAAACTGAGAGTAATGTTCAACCACTTCATTCGATTAGAGAAGTCTCCGATCTAAACATTCGAACACGACATGCGTTTATTTCATTTAAAACTCAAGTGAAAGAAATCGTAAGCCCTTTTAATATTCTCAAGATTTTAGAAACTGACTTTAGTGATCTCCACTCTTGCAGTAATCAAACATATTCACGTGAAGATAAACAGTTTTTGAATAAAATGTCAGAAAGTATACATTTAACATCTGATAATCACTATGAGATGCCCTTGCCATTTAGAGATAGGGAACCTACACTTCCTAACAACCGAGCTCATGCGTTACAAAGACTTTTACCATTGCGTAATAAATTTAAGAAGGATGAAAATTATCGGCGTGATTATCGTCAGTTTATGTCAGACATTATAAGTAAAGGATATGCAGAAAAAGTTCCTGCGGATGAACTTCATCAAGATATCGGTAGAATATGGTATATCCCTCACCACGCGGTTTACCACCCGAAGAAGCCTAACAAAATACGCGTAGTATTTGATTGCAATGCCAGATTTAAAGAACAGTCAATAAACGACCATCTTCTTAAAGGCCCAGATCTTACTAACACGCTAACTGGTGTACTCTGTAGATTTAGAAAAGAATCCATAGCTGTGATTTGCGACATAGAACAGATGTTCTATCAGTTTCGTGTAAATACAGAACATCGCAATTATTTAAGATTTCTTTGGTGGATCAATGATGAGGAAGAGCCTACGGATTTTAGGATGACAGTACACTTATTTGGTGCTGGGTCATCACCTGGTTGCGCAAACTTTGGTTTGAAACAGGCTGCTATCGATAACGAAGAGGAATTCGGTTCTGAAGTAACAGATTTTTTGAAACGAGATTTCTACGTAGATGATGGTTTAAAGTCTCTTCCTACTGAAAGAGAAGCGATGAATCTAATAGATGGAAGTAGAAACTTGTTAGCTAAGTGCGGACTCCGATTACATAAGTTTGTATCAAATTCTAAAACAGTTGTTAATTCAATAGATCCAGAAGACCGAGCTAAGGAGATACGAGATCTCGATTTATTCAATGATGAACTTCCGATGGAACGTGTATTAGGTATACAATGGTGTATTGAGTCGGACTGTTTTCAATTTCATATAACTTTGAATGACAAGCCATTGACTAGACGTGGAATACTTTCCACAGTATGTTCTATATATGATCCATTAGGTTTTATAGCGCCGTTTTTACTATTAGGAAAACAGATACTCCAAGAACTTTGTAGAAGTCGTATTGATTGGGACACTAGTATTCCTGAAGATATGCGGTCACGCTGGGAACGTTGGCGAGATAATCTTGTGCATCTTTCGTCAGTGAAAATTCAGAGATGTTTTAAACCACAAACCTTTGGTCAAGTAACAACTCGAGAGTTACATTACTTTTCTGATGCAAGTACCTACGGATATGGTCAGTGTACATACTTGCGATTAGTTGATGATCAACAAAACGTATATTGCTCACTTGTTGCTGGGAAATCACGAGTAACACCACTTAAGCCTATAACTATACCTCGTTTAGAACTTGCTGCTGCCCTTGTTTCGGTTAGAGTCGGTGTGCATTTGAAGAGTGAACTCGACTATGATGACATTAGTGAAATTTATTGGACCGATAGTAAGGTTGTGTTAGGATACATAAGTAATGATGCCAGACGTTTTCAAACTTTTGTTGCGAATCGAGTCCAACAAATTCGAGAAGCGTCGTCACCTGCTCAGTGGAATTTTGTATGTAGTTCTGATAATCCTGCGGATGCAGCTTCTCGTGGATTAGAACTTGACTAACTGGTTAAACAGTCGAAATGGTTTACCGGACCTGATTTTTTGTGGAATCTTGAACTTCCCGTAAATTGCGATTTCAAAGAAGAATCCCTAATTTCCAAGGATGACCCAGAAGTAAGAAAAGTTCAAGTATTTGCAACACAGTTAACAAAACCTACTGTAAAATTCGACTTATCACGTTTTAAGCATATTTCAACATGGTTTCGAGTTAAAAGAGCTGTTGCCCTGTGTCTGCGATTAAGAAAGAAGATACAAGTTAATCAGGCGAGTCTGAAATCTGTTTACACACCTTTAACCGTGGATGAATTACAACATGCTGAAACAATAATCATTAAACTTCTTCAATCACAAGTTTTCAGCGAAGAAATACAAATTTTGAAGAAATTACAGAAAGCGACTGATGATAATGCTGCGAAGAGAAAACTAAAGAAATCATCATCGTTATATAAGTTAGATCCATATCTTGATCATAATGGTATAATTCGAGTTGGTGGACGCCTTAAATTGTCTAATTTGGACCCTGCAGAAAAGAATCCAATAATACTGCCTAAGAAACATCATTTGACTACGTTGATCGTTCGTCATTTCCATGAAACTGTAAAGCATCAAGGTAAAGGTCTCACAACTAATGAGATACGCTCCAGTGGATTTTGGATATTAGGATGTAGTTCAGTCGTTTCAAGTTACATCTATCATTGCGTCATCTGTCGTAAATTGCGAGGAAGAGTACAAGAACAGAAAATGTCAGAACTTCCTGAAGATCGATTAGAGCCTGCGCCTCCCTTCACATATTGCGCTGTTGATTGTTTTGGACCATGGACTATTAAGGAAGGAAGAAGCGAACGAAAGCGTTATGGTGTATTATATACATGTATGACTAGTCGAGCTGTTCACATAGAAATTGCGAATAGTTTGTCAACAGACTCATTTATTAACAGTTTGCGTCGATTTATTGCTATTCGCGGTCCTGTACGTCAGTTACGTTCGGATAACGGCACCAATTTTGTTGGAGCAAAAAGAGAATTATATGAGCTTATTCATAAGATCAATCATGATCATGTTAGACAATATTTGTTAGAAAATGGTTTCGACTTTGTTTTCAAAATGAACATCCCTGCTGCGAGTCATATGGGCGGAGTTTGGGAACGCCAAATAAGGTCAGTGCGAGCTGTTCTCTCTACGCTTATGATGCAGTCTGGAACACAGTTAGATGATGAATCTCTTCGTACTTTTATGTATGAAGCTGCAGCAATTGTGAACAGTCGTCCCTTGACTGTAGATACTCTTAATGATGTCACATCTTTAGCACCTTTGACACCTAATCATTTGTTGACTATGAAGACTAAGATTATATTACCACCTCCTGGAGAATTTCAAAAGGAAGATGTTTATTCTAAAAAGCGATGGCGTCGTGTGCAGTATATGGCCAATGAGTTTTGGACACGGTGGAAACGCGAATTTCTACAAAATCAACAAGTGCGCTCTAAATGGAATGATTCTAAACGTGAAATTTGTAACGGTGATATTGTTCTTCTGATAGATGATAGTCTTCCGCGAAACCAATGGTCAGTGTGTCGTGTTGTTGAAACATATCCCGATGCAGACAATCATGTGCGTAAAGTAAAGCTTTACATTGGTAATAAATATTTAAATTCTGATGGAAAATGTGTAATTCCGCCTGTATATTTAGAACGTCCAGTACAGAAATTAGTTTTACTTCTTGGACTTGAAGACCAGGGAAATCCCCGCCAAGGAGCCAACTGAACTGTCTTTTTAAAATTAGAACTCTCTTTATTAAGTTCGTTGAAATATTGAATATGTAATAGTTAGGTTGTTATGTTTTTTTTGTTGAAAATCAGCATACTAATTTTGAGGAGCCATGTAACAATTGTCGTCTTGCCGTAGTGTTGCGATTGAATGAATTCATAGTCAAGTATAGGCCGTATGACTTCCTAGAGGGGTAGCTATTGGGAGCATCAATTGTTTACATTCTATGGTTTCCTAATTATATTTTATATCCGAAGTATAGATATGTTTATTAGTAGATTCTATATATTAGAGTAAATATTAAATACGTACATAATTATTCAGTTAATCAAATTATGATTATAAATATTTGGTTCGAATTTGTATATGTAATTTATTAGTTACTCCTATAAATCGTGGTCTTTCGTCTGGGATCAAGCATGGCAGCCAAATTTGTGCGTTGCGGAAAGGGGTGAAGTCAAAAAGGTATTGTGTTATAAACATATATTTTTGGTTGTAATTATCAGTTAATATGTCCATCACATAACTAAGTATATGTCAGTATTCTTATTTGATATGTATAATTGCGTTTTGGGTTTGAAATCTTGTGTATTGTATTAGCTGTCATGCAGGCACTGTCAAACGCCGTTTCCTAGCTAACAATATTACGTAGTTTGTACGTTGTGCTATAGTTATTATCGTATATCAATTAGTACCGTTTAGTAATTCTGTTAACTTTTGTTATTTCAGTTTTCACATATGTGTATTGTGTGTATGTTCAACTTGATATTCATCATATAATCAACTTAGAATTGTCTGTCAACTAAATGATGATATAAAGAGAATTCATTGAACCCTAAAACTTGTATGTTGAATTTGTTGATTATTCCGGTACACATTTAGTAAAAAGCTTGCGACTTAATCCCAGAAGATTGCGCAGAGCATCACACCTCTGTTCATTTGTGTTTGGCTGCCTGCGTAACGAGGTGTGCTGTTACAAGTATGTAAATCATCTACACCCCGATATAGATAGAGTTGAAATCCCCTAAAATTAGTTTCATTTTCCAGATCAAAAAGTTGTAATGGGAGATTGAGGAAATAAATCGTAAGAGGAAAGAGAAGTACAGATCAGAGATTTAAATGAGGGAAACAATCTGCTTATTCAACGAAAAGAACAAAGGAAAATTTCCCGTCCATGTTACAATTATTGTTAACAGATTCATATACAAGCAAAATGGTACGTGAAACAATGGAAATCTGTGATAATCTGATACATGAATTGAACTTTAGGTTAATAAACACATTAATTTTATTCTATTATGCCACCTGTTTGTATGCAAGGTATGAGGCATGTCCATTCCATAGTTGGCTTATTCGTGACGTCATTAGACTTAGTAACCAATCAATATCATCATAATTAATTACGTAATACTTGACCAGTTAAATAACAGATAGCAGAAGTCCAGGTATATAAAACCATCAGAGCAGCGGGCGATTGGCTTGTCTACGATATCACCCTTGGTGGAAGTGGACGTAAAACCCCAGAAACGAACGAACGGGCGATTGGTAGACAACCATGTAGATTTTGAGAGAGCAAATGTAGAAATGCGTTGGGAGAGTCCGTTGAGGTTCAAGAGGCAGCATCTGATGTAGTGCATCCGTCAGTAAACTCGATCTGCGAAATGGTGGGGTAGCGAGAGTAGGGAATGGCTTTATTTTTAATCTATGCTTGTAACCTATGTATCCAGTGCTTGACATAAAATGTAGAAACGAACTGTGGTATTGTTATTCATGTGTGTAACCATAACCTGAATAATTGGGGTAAGTTCACAACATGGAGATGTCAGAGTGACATTTAAAGATACGTCCTAGACCTAGCCATAAAGTAAAGAATAAGAAAAATAACCAGAGACCATACTAGACGATCACAAGGCTATTAAAATATGTAACAGTGAAAAGAGTATGCGTCACACATTGAATTTATGGAGTTTTGGGGAAGTACTTTCCACATCTAAACAGTGACTCAAAGCACTGAATTTGATTTGGTTGCCGAACTGCATAATGCTACAAGTTGTGTCAGTGTTCCTCTTAAAGAGGTTGACATGTATTATCGTATTTTGTTTACTTAGGATCAGCAAGATATTTTTTCCAAAGTATAGAATTAATTTCAACATCATTCCAAATATTTATGGGTGTTTACACATAAAAAAAAAAATAATTGTATTTATTATTACGTTATTGTCAAATTCTTCGATACTTTTTGGCAGGTAAGTATCCTAGTCTGTCAACTGCACTGCGGTTCGGTCCAGCAAATATATTGTAACCGTTCATTTTCATTGCCAGTCAATCCTGCGCGACAAAAATATGAGCAAGACAAGAGCCTCATTGCATATGTACCATAATTAACAATATACTGTTTTCAAAATGAAATGAAATGGGGTTTAACGTCCTACTGCTCCTATACTGGGCTAGTGAAGACGGGCATACGCCATACAGTGTCCTACTATGAGGGAAATTTTGCCCGGGCAGCAGCAAAATGGCCTACTCTTATAAGGGATCTTTTACGTACACGGCAATGTCTACACGGGACCTCGCTTTTCCGTATCATTCGAATGACTAGACTGACACCATGTCAATTTGTAGACGGAAAAAATTAAATATATGTTTGTCTTAAAAATAAATTAGACCACATTCTGCATTCTGTTACAAATCATACAAAAACATTTATTTACAATTGTGTCTACTACATAAAACAACATTATCTGGTCTACAAAATATGTAACATTAAAAAAATCAGTTTTAAAAAAAAAAAATCAAAGAAAATAATATTACATGTAATAAAAAATATAGAAACACATAAATGTTGATAGAATAGAAAATCATTAGTTCATTTCTGTTGAGGTATTAAAGATACATTATGGAAGATTAGATAAAGAGCTAGCAGTTCTCACTATAATAGTTAAAAAGTAGATAATGTAATGGGAATTTACTGAAAATTTCAGTCAAATTGATCCACTCTGAACCGAGAATTTAGCGATTGAACTTTGGGCCTAGTCTTGATCATCATTACTAAAGTCGGAATGATAAAAAACAAAGTCTTGATTATCCATTTTGACGTTACATCATGATTCAAATCCAGTAAATATCGCAATGTCTAATTAATAATATAGATAACGTTTCAGGCCTAAAGAAAGACCTGCAATAGGCAGATTTACCTCTTGCATAATGTATGTTTAATATTTGAATAGATTAGCCATTAATTTATATGAAATGAAATGAAATGAAATGGTGGTAAAAGCACCAACCGAACTACTAAAGACGGGCATACAAATAATTTAGTTTTTGTATAATGCATCTTTATTATAAATGGACATTTATATGGTAAGTGACATTATGTTTTCATAAATTATGACTGATTTAAAGTTATCAAGATTGATAGAATGATTTATTCATTGCGTTCACTGGGTTTCTTGAACTTGTAGTCTATATAGTCGAATATATCTTCTTCACTTGATACAGGTAATGGTTCACCTGGTGTACCTGGAAAAATAATATCACCTGTAATTAATCAATTTAGAAAAAGATAGGGGGTTTAACTTCTACTCAGCACAAGAGAGAGAGGATACTCACAACAACAGAGAGAGAGAGAGAGAGAGAGGGAGAGAGGGTATTAATCCACTTGACACAGGCTAGGTTATTTTTGGAATAACACATGGTTCAAAAAAGAGATAGAAATGGGTTTTAACACAAAATGGTAACCCACTAGAAACATGAATGCTGATTGGTTAATCAAATGTTTGATATCATAGGGTCAAAAGCCACTCGTATGACCTCTGATGCGACCTTCCACTACAATTAGTCAAATCTTCATGTAGTGTAGGCTATCGAAAATATATAAAAAAAACGAAACGAAATATAGATCTGTATTTTAATCAGATTTGAATATTGGGTGCATTTTATAAAAATCTATAATTTAAAATATGAACTAACCTGTACTACCAACAGGTCGTATACTGTATTCATTGAGTGTAAAGCCTTGTTCCAGAGCGTGAGCACGCATATTTTTATTAAATATATCGGAACCAGTAAAATACAGGAGAGCAGGATAAAACTGATCGTGTGGAATTAAACGAATATCAATTCTTCTAAACACACGTTTTGTTTCTTCATCAGATTCAGGTAAAGCACAAACTCCCTAAAACACAAAACAAAAATATTCAATTTATTTATAAAACGTCCTACGATTCTTCACAAACTGTGCTAGGAGACAGGCATATATGAAATGAATAAAATGAAATGGGGTGGGGTTAACGTCCTACTGTTCTGCACCAACTGGTCTAATGAAGACAGGCATACGCCTTACAGTGTGTTATGAGGGAAATTTTACCCGGGCAGCGGCACTATCGCCTACTCTTATATCGAATTCCAACTGCCTGGGGATCTTTTACGTGCATTCAAATATATACACAGGACCTCGGTTTTTCGTATCATCCGAAGGACTAGACAGCTGTCCTTGCCAGGCCCTCCGTTCTGCACCACTGACAAGGGGAAACCACGTTGAAAAATCCTGATGAACTTTCTCGGCCAATGCAGGGATCGAACACCCGACCTCCAGGCTAGCGAGCCAGCGTCTTAACCACCTAGCCACCGTGGCTCCCAGGCTGTAAGACAGGCGATATATATGACAGGCTAGACATAAGATGGGCATATAAGATGGGCATATAGACAGATTATAAGACAGGCTATATATAAGACGGGCATATAAGACCAATTATAGGTCATTTCGGGACTAACATATGGTTCAATTTTATTTTTATAGTTCGCTTGCGTGTATGTGTCTTTAGCAGTGGGAGGAAACCGGAAGACCTGAAGAGAAACACATGAAGTTGGACAGATCCACCTTTAATATAATAAATATTACAGAATGTTTATTCTTACCATGAATTTGGAATCACCCAGTGAAAGACGATCTGTTATAAAATCAATTTTTTCTAGTTTTAAGACAACATTCTTTAATAATTCAGGCTGGAAAAGAAACAGTAAAACATTATACAACGATACATCAAGACAGTAGAACATTATACAATGACACACCACTCGACACAAACTAGGTCAATTCGGGACTAACATATGGTTCAATTTTATTTCAATAATTTGCTTGTGCAACAGGCAACCCTACTCCTTGCCACGTACAACCGAGAATTCGAAATCACGCCAGTTGAATCAATGACAGACCTTAAGATCCACCGCGCACATGTTAACCATTAACCATTCCGATATATATAATATATATATTAGAGATAGATAATTACCTGTTTTTTATCTGTTGAGTTAAAACTAGGATGAGTCAACAAAATATCTATATCACCACTAGAGGTAGCACCTGTTACAATAAAAATATACAATTACATTTAATCCTGGGTATGTAATAATTGCTGTGGTAGATAAAATCATTAAAAGTCATGTTTAAATGAAATCGGGTTTAACGTCCAACTTTTCTGCACCAACTGGGCTAATGAAAACAGGTCAAGTGAGAGAGAATTTCAGTACAAATTTTCTGTACACAATTCCCCAGTTTTAGTAAAATGCTCAAGACGCATTTAGCTCTCCGCTTATCACACGATAAAAACACACCTAATCTTAACAACTAATAAGCAGTCGAATAATAAGAGATGAGTCTTTAATTGCTTCTATTAAAACAGCTAAGCGATTGTGAATTAAGGTCGAGGGTAATGAATTCCATAGGTTTGGTACAGTGTATGAGAAGCATTGTTTTAGAATATTTTTACCTCTTCTAAAACTACCGCAAACATCCGCTGTGTATTCATCATCTAATTTCTTTATAACACCAAATACTATTTCCTGAAAAATATCACAATAAAACATTACATAACACCAAATACTATTTCATATCACAACAAAACATTAATCTCTCTGTATCACAACAAAACATAAGTCTGTATCACAACAAAACATTAGTACAACAAAACATTAGTCTCTCCGTATCATAACAAAACCTCTTACAACAAAACATTAGTACAACAAAACATTGATCTCTTTGTATCACAACAAAGCATTAGTCTCTTTGTATCACAATAAAACATTAGTACAAGAAAACATTAAACATGCATTATGCAAGAGCAAAATCTGCTTATTACAAGTCTTTCTTTAGGCCTGAATTGTTATCTAAATTATCAATTAGACATTAATTAACTTATCCAGACCATAATAAACTCTCGATGTCAAGGCTAGCCTTCGATGTTGCCTGGATTAGATTCCTATATGCCGCTAACGGCCATTGATAATTAAATCAGAAAAAGTGGATAATCGAGACTATGCTGTTTATATTAATGATTTTAGTAATGATGACCGAGACTATGCAAAAATTTCATCCGCTTCTTTCTCGGCTAATAGTGGATCAATTTGACTGAAATTTTCAGCAAATTACCTTTACATTATCTAGTTTTTAACTATTATAGCGAGAACTGTCATCTCTTTATCTTATCTCCCATAATGTATCTTTAATCTATTCATAACTAAACACAGATATAATTCATCTGACTTTATTTATATTACTTATAAATTATTTATTATTGTATATACTATTTCGAAGTCTTGTTTGTATTAAATAATGTCTATCATTTCTATGTATGGAAAGGGCTTTTCTAAGTTTTTGATACTTGTGCTCAATCCTTTTGATATTTGTCAATAAAATATGTTTAAACTAAACAAGGTATAAATGGATATAACTACTTCTCTATTTTTTAAAACGTGACCTGTATGTGTTACGAAACGTTGTGTTTTGTTATGAATAGTTAACCATGCTTCTTCTAGATGTCATTTAAAGAAGTAAAACATTAATCTCTTGCCAATGGTTATCGGTGGAATTTTCTAACATATGGTGGGATTGTTCATTTGGGATTATCAAGGAACCTAGTGAGATTAACGTCCACTCGACACAAACTAGGTTAAAAATAAACACAACAGTTCTATGGATAATAATTACTGTATTTCTATTAAAGCTACGTTTCAACAACGATTCTCTTGTCTTGTTGTTGTGCTTGATAACGACATGAGAATCATTGTTGAAACGTAGCTTTAATAGAAATACAGTAATGGTTATCCATAGAACTGTTGTGTTTATTTTTAATGTGTTCAATTACTAAATGCCATTCAAACAGTACAAACTAACATATGGTTCAATTTTATTTCAATAATTCCCTTGCTCGTAAGGGTCATTAGCAATGAAAGGAAAGTAAAAATAACAGAGACTGAAATTTATAAAATTTGAATATGTTTATTCTTTATAGCTAGCCCTAGTCTAAAATACAAACCAGTAATCATCACTGTGTATCAGACAGTGTATACAACAGTGATTCTCAACCAGTGTGCCACGAGATTTTCCTAGGTGTGCTTCAAAATTCTGAACGGCGCACTAAGTATTCACTGGTGTCTACTGATAAGTTCATAGCTGTGTTTTTCTGTATTTAGTTCGAGTCATTTTATGTATCTATGACTAGTCTGTGTCTACGGTTTTATGACTTGCCATGTTTTTATTTTGCAAAATTCAAATATTTTTCATATATATTTAGCCAGGTGTGCTGCTACTTTTCATGTGTTCCAAGGTGTGCCATTGGCAAAAAAAGATTGAGAACCACTGGTATATATTATCTTATCTATTCAACAATCTGATTAAAATACAGATCTATATTTCGTTTCGTTTTCTATACTTTCGATGGCCTACACTACATGAAGATCTGACTTGTAGCGATAGATCGTATCAAAGGTCATATGAGCGGCTTTTGACCCTATGACGTCAGATATTTGATTAATCAATCAGCGTTGATGTTTCTAGTGGGTTACCAATAGTTTCGTGCACTTTGCGACAAAAACTTGCCATAGCAGGCCTTTTCATTAGCTTATCCCTTACATCATCCAGAATGCAGGTTATATAACAACTCTTCTAGTAAAGACAAGTAAAACTAAATCTTGAACTATAAAAAACGGAACAAAATAGAATCTGTGTTTTAATCAGATTGTATTTTGATAGGCCCTTTAGGAATTAAAAATTAAAAGGATCAAAAAGAGTGGATAAAAAATTAATTTACCTTTAATTTCTCCATTTCCTCTCTCGGAATTCTTTTCTCAAAATCTTCAAAATATCTGGAATTACATTTTATAATGTGTTTACCCATTTGCAATTTGGTTGGCGTCTCAACCGTCTGATTCACATGGTTGGAGGCAATATTTGAGTAAAAAATAGGTTACATGCTCTTGTTTTGAAATCAGTCTCGCTTAACCAGTCTAACGACCACTCCGTCTGATTGACAGGCCGGGATAATCAAGACTACTTTTTTACGAAATATATTCAAACGTCAGATTCGTATGAATAGCTGAATAGGGTGGTTTGAGGTGGGTGATATTGGGTGCATTAATTGTGTACTACTATGAACGAGCATATTATTAAACCTCTTGGAATTGTGGTGTTATATCGGAAACATAAAGTCTGTAAATAAATGGGTGATTGTTCAAAGAACAAGTATATATGCTAATCATCATGTGAAAAAAAACCCACTTAAACAGAAGTCCTCCGACTGGGCTAATGAAAATGGGCATATGAGGGAAATTTGCCTGGACAGCAGTGCTACGGCCTACTCTTATATCAAATTCCAACTGCCAAAGGATCTTTTACATGCACGCCAATGTATACACGGGACCTCGTTTTTTCCCGTTCTATCAAAACAACTATACATTATCCCTTGCCAGGCCTCCTGTCTGGCACCACTGACAAGGAGGAACCACACGGGAAAATACAGATGAGCTTTTTCAGCCAACATAGTGATCAGACACAGGACCTCTCGGTTAACGAGTCAACGACTTACTCACTGAGCCACTGTGGCTCCCGATAAATCAATGAATTTAACAGGACTTACTTTACACCAATCTGTTGATGATGGTTCAGTTTATCAACGTTTTTACGTAAATCTAAAATAAAAAAAATACAGTAAAATACAAACTGATTTTACCATGAAATTGGAGAGGAAGAAATAGGGTTTAACGTCCACTCGACACAAACTAGGTCATTTCGGGACAAACATATGGTTCAATTTTATTTCAATAATTCTCTTGCACGTAGGGGTCTTTTAGCAGAGGAAGGAAACCAGAGGACACAGAGAAAACCCACGAGGTTTGACAGGCGACCCCACTCCTTGTCACGTACAACCACACCTGTTGACTCAATGACCTTATGATATAAAGTGCACGCGCTGACCATTTGGCCATCCAACCCTCCACCATGTGGTGCACATTGCTATTTAAACAGACCTAGTTTTCATCTTCTCATTGAGACTGAAATATTGATAAATTTACCTTCTATACTCATGATTCCATCTTGAACAAATTTCTGAGCTGCAGCAGGTCTGTAAATATCACACAGAAAATTCATGTATAAAGACAGAGCGAGAAAGAAAAATGGGGTTTAATGTCCACACGACACAAACTAGGTTATTTTGGGACTAACACGCGGTTCAATTTTATTTCAATAATTCGCTTGCGTGTAAGTGTCTTTAGGAGTGGGACAGAGACAGGGAGTTTAAGGTCCACTCGACACAAATTAGTTCATTATGGGACTAACACATAGTTCAATTTTATTTCAATAATTCGCTTGCGCGTAGGGGTCTTTAGCCGTGGGAGGAAACCAGAGGACCCGAAGAAAACTCACGAGGTTGGACAGACGACCCTACTAGTTGTAACGTACAACAGGGGAATCGAAACCACGCCAGTTGACTCAGACCTTATGATACAGTGCACATGTGCTAACTATTCGGACATCCACCCCACCCATCCCCGTTTATTGTAATAAAGTGTATGAACTTGAAATAATGGACCTTACCCAATGCCTGTTACTTTGGTGAGTTCTGTTATCGCTACATTGGTATCACTCGCTCGAATCTACAAATAAAACAAACATTGGTTGACATTTAGAAAACTGGTATTACTCACTCCAATGAGACAAAGATAGGTTGCCCGACAATAAAATGAAATGAAATGGGGTTTAACGTCCGACTGTTCTGCTCCTAAACTGGGCTAATGAAGACGGGCATATGCCATACAGTGTGCTATGAGGGAAATTTTTCTGGGACAGCGGCACCATGGCCTATTCTTATATCGAATTCAAACTGTCAAGGGATCTTTCACGTGCATGTCAATGTGTACACAGGACCTCAGTTTTTCGTAATATCCGAATGACTAGGCAGCTGGCCTTGTCAGGCCCTCCGTCCTGCACCACTCACCAAATCAATAAAATATTCTTTCATCTTTTGCTAGAAATAATACTGATACCTTGTCTAATTTTGCTAAACTTCCGGTTGCAATAAATTCATCAATTTTCTTCCCAATTTGTTTACCAATACCGTCCTAAAATATAAACAAAATTCATGGGTTATTTATCAAGATATATCATTAAATCACACAACACAGGACTGAGATAAATGGGGTGTCCACTCTACACAAACTAGTCGATTCAATAAAATGAAACAAGGGCCATAACTCCAGAAGAAATTAACAGAAATTATTGAAATTAAACACAGGACTGAGATAAATGGGGTGTAACATCCACTGGACACAAACTAGGTGATTCAATAAAGTGAAACAAGGGCCATAACTCCAGAAGGAATTAACGGAAATTATTGAAAATAAATATGGCTTCTTCATCTGACTAATGTAAACAACATACATGAGTATCAATTTCAAAACAATCAGACGATAAATGCAGTCTTTAGAGCAGAGGTGTCAAACATGTGGCCCGCAGGCCAGATCCGGCCCGCCAAGGGTTTAAATGTGGTCCGTGAAACAAATGAAATGAAATGGGGTTTAATGTCTTACTGTTCTGCTCCAACTGGGCTAATGAAGAAGGGCATGCGCCATACAGTATACTAGGAGGGAAATTTTGCCCGGACAGTGGCACTACGACCTACTCTTATATCGAATTCAAACTATAAAGGGATCTTTTACGTGCACACCAATTTGTCCCATCTGAATGACTAGACATAGCAAGAAATAAACAAGAAATATCAAATCAAATGAATGGATGCAGGGGCCAGTGGTAAGTGTCCACTGTGTTGTACAACCCTGAGGCCTGTAATAATACAGACTTCACACAAAATAAAAAAAAAATATGATTTACAAGAAACAGGTAACAGAAATGAAATGAAATGGGGTTTAACGTCCTACTGTTACTGATCTTGACGGTGGTCATACAAAAGGGAGATAATTAAAGTCGAGGGAGATATGTAGGTCATACTTACTAGTTTCTTGGCTTCATCACCAGATTTAATCCGTGTTGGATGTTTATTGAGTAAACCGGCTGCTTTACGATAAACATTGTATTTATGCATCTGACGATTCACATTCTTCTCATAGTTGGCCAATTCTACAAAATAAAGATAAACAAAGTCGTAAATTATATATATTTAAATTATACAGATCTATATTTTTTTTTTTTTTTTTTTTTTTTTTTTTTTTTTATACTTTCAATGGCCTACACTACATGAAGATCTGACCAGTTGTACTGGAAGGTCGCGTCAGGGGTCGTACGAGCATTTTTTGACCCCTGACGTCAGACTTTGATTAATCCATCCACGGGGGGAGACACATTGTCAAATTATCCATCCTTGATACTTCTGCTATTTTTATGGACCAATCGAGTGGGCAAAGGGAAGTAACTAGCATTTTATTGCAACAACGTTTAGTGTGGTGACTGTAAACAATGATGCTGAAACTATGTAAACTATGTAGAATCAAGGGCAAATAATTTGAAATCGTGAAAACCCTATGTAAATGTGAGGATAAGTATATACGTACATGTAACAGTGTGACCTTTTTAATGAGATGTAGGGAAGGTGCTAATTTTGCATCCCTTTGGAGGGTTCACACTGCTCTTGTAGATATATATATAACCATATTCTTTTCATTTTATTTATTTGTGTTGTATGCTGGATAACAACTTGTTGAAACGTCGTCGCAGTGAAATGAAATGAAATGGGGTTCAACGTCCTACTGTTCTGCTCCTATACTGGGCTAATGAAGATGGGCATACGCCATACAGTGTGCTATTAGGGAAGTTTTTGCCTGGGCAGCGGCACTATCGCCTACTCTTATATCGAATTCCAACTGCCAAGGGATCTTTTACGTCCATTCCAATGTATACACGGGACCTCGGTTTTCCGTCTCATCCGAAGGACTAGACAGCTGTCCTTGTCAGACAATGGGAAACCACGCCGGAAAACGCAGTGAAATAAACCATAGTAATCTTTATTCATAAATAGGGTGTTATTTGATGGCCCCAGAGGTTAGAGGAGTAGACTGGAATGATACAACTGGGGATATCGAGAATGACAATAACCAGCCCCCCGAGTTCACAAAGCATTCTCAGACTTTGGTCAAGAATTTATTCAAAATTGTTTGGCTTATGTTAACTAAAATATAGCCCTTTATAAAACTTTTGTTGTTTTAATATATCAAATACATCAATAAGAAACTATGTATATGCAAAGTTTTGTGTATCTGGATCAAAGATATTTCTCATAAACAGTGATTGAAAGTTGAGTAAATTCTTAACTTAAGTCCGAGAATGCTTTGTGAACTCGGGGCCAGGAGTCTCATTCACAAAAAATGAAACTTAACTGTTTTAAGAATTCAGCTTTTTCATTGGTTGAAAGATAAAAAACTAGTATAAATTTTTCACGATTAGTGAGCTGTGTCTTACTCATGAGTCACATTGATGTCCTGTACACCATAGCAACTGTACTGGGTCAATAGCAATTGTCAATTTCATCATCAAAATAAATGGCTCTATTAAATTCTGTGTAAAAACCTGATTATCACAAAATTATTTTAAAATTTTTATTTAAAGATACATTATGGGAGATTCGATAACGAGTTGGTTGTTCTCACTATAATAGTTAAAAACTAGATAACGTAAAGGCAATTTGCTGAAAATTTCATTCAAATTGATCCACTATGAACCGAGAACTAAGCGAATGAAATTTCTGCCTAGCCTCGGTCATCATTACTAAAGTCAATACGATAAACAGTATAGTCTCGATTATCTATTTAATTGTTTAATCGAGAAGGAAAGTTATACAGTAAATCGGCTTACAATCCACTTAAGATCGCGGGCTAGAGATGCCATCTAGAGTTGATTATGGTCTGGATAATTTAATTAATGTCTAATTAATAATTTGAATAACATTTCAGGCCTAAAGAAAGACCTGCAATAGGCAGATTTAGCTCTTGCATGATGTATGTTTAAGTTCAAGCGTTTGGTTTCCTATGGGTTTGGGTGGCCTAATTGTTTAATACCTGCGCCTTAGATCATAAGTGGAGGTCATTGAGTCAACTGCCGTGGTCTTGATTCCCTGCTTGTACATGGCAAGGAGTAGGGCCACCTGTCCAACCTTGTGGTTTTCCTTTGGGTCCTCCGGTTTCCTACTATTGCTAAAGACCCATATATGTGCAAGCAAAATATTGAAATAAACTTTTTAATCCCAAAATGACCTAGTTTGTACTTTGTAGTGAGTGGACGTCCGCGCCCCCCCCCCCTCTCATATTATAAGCTAATCTTATACAGAGAGAGAGAGAAATGGGGTTTAACGTCAACTCAACACAAACTAGGTCATTTCGGGGCTAACACATGGTTCAATTTTATTTCAATAATTCGCTTGCGCGTAGGGGTCTTTAGCAGTGGATTGAAACCGGAGGACCCGGAGAAAACCCACGAGGTTGGACAGGCGACCCTACTCCTTATATAGATAATGACTGCTAACAGAAAATAAAAGGTGCTCTTTATTTCCCTAGGATGAATAAAAATAAAAATAACCCCATAAATATATTCATGACAGTAATTTAAAATTAATGATAAAATAAAAATAATATATCAACATTCTCATACGTCTAACGAATAAATTAAAATGACGAATGGGCCTTCCTTAAATAAAATAAGATGACGAAAGCGCCTTCCTTAAATATAATAAATGGATGATAATTCATATAGATGTTTATACTGTATGTAGGCCTAAGTAACCCACAGGTTACCGTGGTAACAGATATAATCTAACCAATCCTTAAATAAAATATAATAATGAACGCACCTTCATTAAATATAATAAACGGCCTCTGAGATCTAGGTACGTATTGTATAATAACAAAAACTTTATTTAGGTTTATATAAGTCAGTAACCTACAGGTAACCATGGTAACAGATATAATCTATGGCTAGATAGCCTAAAGACATTTAGCAGTGATGATAGTCCATATACCACTGAAAGGGAGTGGTTTAATTATACAAGAGGTGCACCAATTAAAATGTCCTCATTTCCTTAAAAAAACCTTTTTTTTATTAATATATTAACCTCAGTACACCCGACAAAAAATATTGGGCTTGTCTGAAGCGAAAAGACAATAAACAGACATTATTATTATTATTAATATTATTATTACTACATGTTTCTATAGCGCACAACTGCCACAGAAATCACCAATGTGCATATTCACACTTTACAAAGACATATTATAGAGCTAACAACATATCAAATAAAATATCATGTACACAGAGAGAGTAATGGGAGATTGGGGGTCACGGTGGCTAAGTGGGTAAGACGCTGGCTCGCTAGCCTGGAGGTTGGGTGTTCGATCCCTGCATTGGCCGAGAAAGTTCATCTAGATTTTCCGATGTGGTTCCCCATTGTCAGTGATGCAGGATGGAGGACCTGACAAGGACAGCTGTCTAGTCTTTCGGATGGGACGGAAAACCGAAGCCTCATGTACACATTGGCGTGCACATAAAAGATCCCTTGACAGTTGGAATTCAATACAAGAGTAGGCCGTAGTGCCGCTATCCGGGCAAAATTTCCCTCATAGCACACTGTATGACGTATGCCTGTCTTCATTAGCCCAGCATAGGAGCAGAACAGTAGGACGTTAAACCCAATTTCATTTCATTTCATGTAAAGGGAGATTAACATCCCCTGGTCGACATAAACTAGGTCAATTCGGGACTAACATATAGTTTAGTTTTATTTCAATAATTTGATGGGCGTATGGTTATTTAGAAGCAGGAGGAAACCGTAGTACCCAGAGAAAACCCACAAGGTTGAATCTGTGATGCTATTCCTTGTCATGTACAACCGGGGAATCAAAATCATGCCACTAGACTTAATGACAGACCTTCTGAACCAACGCACATGCTTTAACCATTCGGCTATCCAACCCCGCTATTTATAAACATCAACTTGAAACAAACTAGGTCATTTTGGGACTAACACATGATTCTCTTTTATTTCAATAATTCGCTTGAGAGAAATGGGGTTTAACGTCCACTTGACACAAACTAGGTCATTTCGACACTAACACATGGTTCAATTTTATTTCAATAATCCGCTTGCACGTAGGGGTCTTTAGCAGTGGGAGGAAACCGGTGGACCTGGAGAAAACCCACGAGGTTTGACAGGCGACCCTACTCCTTGTCACGTACAACCGGGGAATCGACAGACTGTATGATCAGAGCGTACGAATCGTGATAGTGGGATATTGGATTAAGACTGTTGTATTAACATCTTCTATTTCTATGTAACACCTCACTGGTTTACGCAAATAAAATTAATTGTCAGACCGTTTATTCCCTTATCTAAAAATAAAATAGATATTTGAGTAGTGCCCTTGGGCCTTGTTGAATAAGTATGCCAATAATAATATATTATGTAAAGAAGACGATGAGTGAAAGTGCATAAGATCAACGATAAATAAATTCATTATTAATACATTTTGAGCATGAAGTGATTTTTTAATTTTTTACTAAACAGAAGCCTTTTTATGAAGGGTGTTTTACGTTTCACTGAGTGTCCTTTTATCAATATAAATTTATTCAAAGATCTGAGTACCCCATATAAATCCACAAGTACTCTTAGATCCACAGATAAACAATTTCTGTATCAACCATCAGTGAATCTTGAATTTACAAAAGATCTTTCTCGTTCTCTGCTCCTCTGTTGTGGAATTCACTGCCTTACAACATTAGAACCACTGACTCCCTTCATGCATTTAAATCTCAGCTAAAGATGCCCCTGTTTACAGAAGCGTTTCCGTAGTTCAATAGAGAAAACTTGAAAAGCACAATAGGAACTTTAGTTTTAGTATTATCGCGCTATATAAATCAGTCCTTCATGTTTATAAAATTGTGTGGAGCCATAAAAAGCTTCTGATACCTTGAATATATGCAGTTTAAAAATAAACAAAAACTGAAAGTAGTTTATTAATCTCAATATTTAGGAGTGCGATTTAGCTAATTTGCAGGAGTCTTTAATGACTCCTTCGAAGGAAAGCTGACGTGCATCGAGAGGAGCAGGAGCAAAAGCTCCCCTTAAACGTGAAGGACTGAAAAATAAGAGGATTATTTTTATTATTATAAATATGAAATAAATCTATACATAGATTCCGTGATGAATAGGCGTACGAGCTCGATGAATGTTTGAAAATTTATCTGCAGCAAACGCGTTTTCCTGCTAGACTTGCCTGTGAATACAGATACTTCAATGTGGTCCAATATAGCCTAGCTTAGGTGACTTACCTAAATCCCAACCAACCAACCAATCGTCGCGGGGTATGGGGGTCTCGCGCTCCCCGAGAAAAAGTTGAAAATTTAACCGCAACAAATGCGTTTTCCTGCTATTCTAGCCCATGATTTAAGCAACTTCAAAGTTTCCAGTCGGTTTTCAACCGAAACCCCACTCTGTGCCGACCTGAATTCCAACCACCCAATCAGACTGTTGCAGCTGCATTCACAAAAAATAATCGATGCCCGAAAAATGTTGCACAAAGCAGAATGACTCGAGACAAAATGCTTTAATCCATAGTTAATTCAGCACAAATTCGTGGTATTCAATTAAAAGAAAAGTAAAATTAGTGTGTTATTAGATTTCGGGCACTTTATTTTACCAACTTGATGAAATATTAATTTTTGTTTTCACATTACATGTACCATTCTGCCCGAAAAATAAGATTGAGCAAAAGTTAGCCCGTATGCCTATGGTTGCGAGGGTCACGATTAGTTAACTGAACAGTCGATCCTTATTTCAACCCCATCTCACTTCCGTTTTATCTATAACAGAATAGGACAATTGTAGCCTCTCTGGACGGCCTAAAAATTCATACATATTTTACATCTTGTGGCTATACATGTAACTCTAGAATATGTGGTCTGCTGTGTACCAAAGTCGACCTCATCCAAGAACTTTTGATCCTTAACACATAGTTTAAGTTTTATCTCATGAATTGGACAAAAATTGTAGCCTTAGGAGGTCCACAAACTCCATTCATATTTCACATTTGGCGTAAAAGGCAGGGGGCCAATGCGCACCAAAATTAATCTCATCCAAAAGCTAGTAATACTCGTTTTAAGTTCATCTAAATCGGATAAAACTTCTGACCTCTAGATGGTCCACGTATTACATACTTTTAAGGGTAGCAGCCATTTTGTCAGGCAGTTTCAGTCTGATTTTCACGAAATTGGAACTCGGCCGTAATTATGGTGCAGCAGTGATATATTTGAACAGTTTTGACAATCAAATAGAAACTGTGAGGACTAGAGAATCTCCAAGCTAAAAATGTTGAGATCTTTTGGTTATAAACATACATTGTCAGTTTCAACAAAATCATATAAATATTGTGACTTCTAGAGTGTCCACAACCTTGGAATCATTAGACATTTATTGTCAAGTTAGTTCAGCATTGCAGGAAACCACAATCGAATGTGCTTGCATGGTAAGGGATTTGGAAAAGAAATAAAATTTCACTTCATTGCTGAGTAATTTTATTAGCCAGAAAGCGTCTCTAGATCCCCGGGAGCTTCCATAGCCTAAGCGGCCCCTCCCCAATCAAGAATTGCTTCCGCCGATCCTGTAACACAAACTGGTCCAGGCAGCTAGAATTGGCACTTTTATTACTCATTTTATGCCTTCGCAATCGCATACTATTTTAAAAATACATTATGCAAGAGCTAAATCTGCCTTTTGCAGGTCTTTCTTTAAGCCTGAAATTATTAATTACATGTGTAGACATTAATTAACTTAGGCCATAATCAACTCTCGATGGCATCGGATTTCTCCGATATTAAATAGATTAGAACAGTTCAGCCATATTTTGATTTAAGCTAAAATTGGAGGTGCGAGACTTAGCTTCGAACAACCAGTGCGGTGGTTGAAATTATTGCACACGTCTTGTCAAACCTTCAAAATCTAATATCTTTGTTCGCAATAGAGTAATTTGATGGAATTTTCAAATTATTCATTTTACATTATTTATTTTCGACCTATTATAGCAAGAATAGCTAACTCTTTATTTAAATCTTACATAATGTTATTTTAAGTATCGATTTACACTAAATAAGAAATATTTTTTATCCAGATTACTTCCAACACATTTATTTTTTATCTTAATAATTCAAAAAAATTATTTTAGAATTTAATTTGCAGATGAAAAAAGTTATTGAGAGTCACCCGCACCGCGACCTCATCCATCATTTCAATTGTTGGCAAGAAGTGAATATTTACTGCTGATCAGTTTGGAGACTGGAGAGTCACATCAACCATGAATGCCGATATGTGGGGAGAGAGAGAGTGAAATGGGGTTTAGCGGCCACTTGACACAAACTAGGTCATTTCGGGACTAACACATGGTTCAATTTTATTTCAATAATTCGCTTCAGCGTAGGGGTCTTTAGCAGTCAGAGGAAACTGGAGGACCCGGAGAAAACCCACGAGGTTGGACAGGTGACCAGAGGTCGCAGTGGATCAATTTCGAGTTGCGTAAAAATATGCAGACATTCCAAAATTTTGCGTTTTTGCCCTCTACATCTGCGTGAAGAGCCTGTCAAAATACTCAATATAGAAGCATGTAAAGTCGTTTTGTGAACAACCCTATTTTAAGCATCCTTATTTTATTGATATGCCTACTGTATTTAGTCTAATGACGACTGGAGGTTAACGGCATGTCTACGATTGACGGCACAGTCATTTCAATCTTTCACTTCGACAGGACGTAAAGAGAAAACTATCGCTATGAAAGCCAACATTTGATTGGCTGAATGTAAACAGTATGTCTTGTTCTAGCCAATCCCAAGTCTTGTATGAAATGCGCTTTATTGCTTCCAATAGGATAGCTACTTATACATGAAGGCTTACTGCCATGAACTTATGAATGAAATAAGAGGAAATATAAAAAATTATGGAGACTACGTACAGTAGAGGTGTGTAAATGCCGGATGAAGCACATAAATTGTACAAATTACGACATAGAATAATCTAATTATTCTCATGTTGGGGAAATTTTCTGCGTGTAAATTACGCAGCGTCTGTCAATATTTGCGTTTATTTTGAAAAAAATGCAGCTCTATCACATATATGATAATGACTGGCACCAATATTGTCCTTTAATATGATACAGCGCGCACGTGGTAACCATTCGGCCATCCCCCCACCCCCCATTTGTGTAACTGATCATTCAAGGAATATATTTAAATGCTGACATGACAATAATCATTACAGGTAAATTACGGCAACAAAAGAAATATCATCATAATCATTCATTCATTCAATGAATCATTGTCTTGTTTGTTGTGTAGGGCCTACTGGATTTCAATATATAAAAAAGATTACCCATCAAAAAATCACAAAAATCAGCATTGGGATTGTCTGTAGTCGGGGCCTTTCTCTTGCTCATTTTGAAGAGTTAGAACTTTTTAAAAATTGCTCAGAGAAACAATTTTTTTATCTTCAACTTGAAAATGCTTGTAAATCTTTGTTTACAGTTTGGCATCCCATCTATCATTTCTACTTCCGGTTACGTCAGCCCCCACGCGAAAGGGCTACTGTATCAATGAAAAGGAAGAAGGATCTATATCTAACAAAAGAAAAATTAGGGTTTGTCTGTCCTTGACATGCAAGCTATTCACACCCCCCTCATAATATACAGAACAATAAAAATAAAAGGCGTTTGAAAGATATCGGCCCGCGTGAAAACTAGAAAGAAATTCTCGTAATTGCATGACCCGGAAGTAATTGATAAGGTCGGGGTATCCTCTCGTTTATAACCAAATTTTGACGTTAGAACGTGGCAGTGTGTGTATTGACAAGCTTGGAGAGAGGACTGTCAAAGTGACGACTTAGTTTATTATCACCATGTGCGGTAAGTACTGATATAGATAAATATAGTGCAAATAGTTGGTAACCTAGAGTAAGACGCTCGCTAGATATCAGAATTGTATATATATAAAACTATTTGGTTGTTATTGGTGTAGAAACTGATACATTGTTGCAGGTTTTTTTTTTTATTAATGACACTTTTATTATTACTTAAAAGATTGTTAGGTATAATTTTTTTAAATGGAATATAAATTGTAGTAAATTTACAGCTATAGGTGAGGGATTTTATTATGCTGAATTATTCTGTAAAATTATGGATAATTTATTTATAGACAATTAATTAAATTAGCCTATATTAAATATATTAGATTATTGCTTGTTATATACCCCCTGCTATTCATAATTCAGGGGAGCATGCAAGTTACATGTAACTCTTCTGTATGTCAAATGATAAACCTATTCTTTTTTTTAAAAAAAAGAACAACCCAAAACCTATAAATTTTATTTGATATTTCAAGTTGTTAATTCGATTGTATACCTCAGAACCTACTTGTCAGATCGATATGATGTTGTTGGTTTTATTGGGAAAGTTGGTGTGACTAGAGATTAATGCTATTTCGAGAATTCTGCAACAATGCGAAATATCCGAAATCACCCAAGTTGTCGTTTTTTGAAATATTGCCTTAATAGTAGCAATAATTATCAGATTTTAACATATGATGCATTTTGACATAGCCGGAGACAGTGCATATAGCTACGATACTTTTGAATTTTGATAAATCTTTGAAGATATTAGGTGCCCAATTTTGAAAAACTAAATTTTGACAAAAATTTTTTTAATTTATGAATATATTTTAATGGTATTTCACACAGTATTAAAGGGTCATCTGACTTGAGCAAAAATGTGAACAATTTTTGTGTCAGTACTTCGTGTTAGCCGCCATTGGCTAATTCAGTTTTTCAGTCCTAGATTAATTATTTATTGTTGGATTTGTATAAAACAAGGTTCATATGCTCCATGGTCCCAAATACCATTTTTTTGTTACCGATAAAGTATCCTGTCGGCACCAGAAGTGACGTGATTTTACCAAAAACTAGAATTTTGACATTTCGGTACCACTTTTCAAAAGCAAATATTAATTTATACAAATTTGATAGATCCAGATGAATTTTCATACTGATAGTGCAAAATACATCGTACTCAGTTTTTTTAATTTCTGTTTTGTATTTGTTCCATTTCGATTTAATGGTGAATAAAAGGTGTAAAATTGAGCTATTTACAACCCATTCAGGCTTTTTGTATTTTAAAATATTTCTTTTAACTTTCATAAACTTGTAGTATTAATCCATACGAAGACAATGTATGTCAAAATTAGTTTCTAATTTGGTGCGTTGCCGAGAAATAGGTGATGTTGCATCACTCACTTTTCAGGGATTTTTGCCCATAGAAGTTTCAATTATTTTTCGTTTTTCAATTTTTTTTTCACGATTCCATGCCTAATGCCACTTATGACTAGGTCAAAGCAATTTACAATTTTCACTGTCACCGGAAATGGCGTCCTTTGGGCAAAAACTGTATTTATCACCTTCAAAACTATATAACTCACCCATGATACCCAGCAAGGTAATTATGCATTATTTAATATATATTCCTCAATAACTCCCAGTGAATATACACTTGACTCCCAGTGAATATACACATAACTCCCAGTGAATATACACATAACTCCCAGTGAATATACATATAACTCCCAGTGAATATATACATAACTCATGGTATATACAATGTAAGATATGATTTACCTGATGTTATTTGAAGTTACATGTAAGCTGTATACTCTACCTGTCAGGTACATGTATATACATTTATGTCATAGGTATATCTTAGTTCAGGAGAACTGCACCACATCTAAACAAACCCACACAGACAAGACACATCACACACGGACATTGCAAGCAATAAACAATAAAAATGTTTTTATTTAAAATGTAATTTATAACTTAAAGTGTATATAAGCATGTAACGGATCTATAGCCAATCCTAGTTGTAAAGGATCAACATATGTGGACTTCTTCTTATTTGTTATTAATTCTATAGAAAGGTTTTATAATAGCTTTAACTTGATGCACTCTACTTGTATTACTACTGTTATTTTAAATTGTCATTTTTTCTCTGTTTGTTTATAATCCTATAAACATATCTTATATCAAGTCCCACACTATTCAAGTAGCTATATTGTTGTTACTTCAGGAGCGTGGTGACCCATGGTTTTGCGTGAGGAACAAGATCCTGTTCGTGCCCCTAAAAAACAATATTTATATGTGTGTGCAAGGAGGGTCCCTCCCAGTGCCACCGAGTAATATTGGGCTGTGTGGAACATACTAGAGTTGATTTGCAGCGTATCTGACACATGGTATATGTTTGACACAGGTTTATGATTATAATATTGAAAACCACATTGACACCGCATGATTTTTTGCCGTTAGCAAAGGGGTGCAAAAACTTAACCATGATGCAAAGCTCATCATTGCGTCCCTCTCACTTAACCCCTGTATTACTTTATAAAATAAAATGGGGTTTAACGTCCTACTGTTCTGCTTTGACTGGGCTAATGTATAGTTTATTAAAAAAAAACCAGGTTCAGTCATTTTCAATGCTTAATCCATACTGATAATTTAACTTTTCATTACCCCTCCCCCCCCCCCCCCCAAAAAAAATAAAAAAAAATAAAATAAAATATCAATGAAAGATAATATTGCCAGGATGCATTCAATCAGCTTAAAAATATAAGATACCCATCCATAGATTTTATCCAATATGTGTAGTTACACTGGCCTATTTATATCATCTTCACACGAAGCAGATTGTTGGGAAATTTTTAGTTCGTCATATCTTAATACCCAAACTGAATCTTTTTGAGCTAATTTCTCTTTCAGAGATCTGAGGTTTACAATATTATTGTTAACAAGGGAATCAAAATCCTTCAAATGACCATCACAGACTTTCAAAATCTTGGTCTGAAAAATTTTTGATGTACTTTATTAAAGAATGTTCTATTTGTTTATTACTATAAATTTGAGTGGGTTGGATGGCCGAATGGTTAGCTTGTGTGTGCTGTATCATAAGGTCTGTCATTGAGTCAACTGGCTTGGTTTCGATTCTCCTGTTGTATACGTGACAAGGAGTAGGGTCGCCTGTCCAACCTCGTAGGTTTTCTTCGGGTCCTCTGGTTTCCTCCCACAGCTAAAGACCCCTACACGCAAGCGAATTATTGAAATAAAATTGAATCATGTGTTAGTCCCAAAATGACCTAATTTGTGTCGAGTGGACCTTAAACTCTCTGTCTCTCTCTCTCTGTTAAATTTGAAAATTAAAAAACTGTGATTTTGTTAACAGCTGAAGGTAAAATTTAAACCTGTTTGATACGTGCCATCGTCTTGAATGAAAGATTTAAGGATTTTCCCAACCCTTGACATAGTTATCGTTGATAGTTGTATTAACACTTTAGTACTTGCTACATGTAAATATTGAACAACTCGATCCCTTAAAGAATATTAGAGAAACTGATATATTTCCGGTAGCCCCTTATATCCCTGGGCAGCCTGAAATCGTCTGATAGTATTACACAATGGTTTAATTTCTCTGGGTTATATTTCTGATTGTTTTCAAATTTGAGTGAAGTCTGTTAAGTCTGTATCACTACAGGCCCGGGACTGACAGTGCAATGGACGCTTACGGCTAGCCCCAGGATACATTCACTTTAACTGATATGTACGCTTCTTTGTGATTTCTATGTATTGTGTCTTGTCCGTAGATTTGTTGGTGTAATTGTGTGTGGTGCAGTCCCCCTGCTACCATTAAACTCCCTTAAATCACCAGAGTTATTTTAATAGCTCTCTGTATCGTTGTAGGGGTTATTCCAATCATTGTCATGAATAGCTTTCCGTATCGTTGTAGGGGTTATTCCAATCATTGTCATGAATAGCTCTCTGTATCGTTGTAGGGGTTATTCCAATCATTGTCATGAATAGCTTTCCGTATCGTTGTAGGGGTTATTCCAATCATTGTCATGAATAGCTTTCTGTATCGTTGTAGGGGTTATTCCAATCATTGGCATGTATAGTTTGAGAGTTATATTAAGGAGGATTGGGTAGCAGACCAAAGGATTCTTCCAAACATTGAATAATATATCGAGTGGAGGTTACATGTACGTGGACCCAGGGGTTTTTGCAGGAGGGGGTTTGCCAGGTTCCTGAGACAATAAATATTTTAGGGGTCCATGGGGAGGGGGTTCTCTCCCATCACCGGCCTTGAAAAGTTTTGAAAATACATGGTCTCTATCGTCATTTTAGCGTATATACACACGCACTGAGCTTTTTAAAGAGAGAAATCCAACACCCCGTTTGACGTCAATTATTATAATGAATTAATATATACGATCACATTGTAATTCAATTTCATTGATGCAAAGCATTAATTATAATGCCACATATTATTATGTCTATATCATTATCTCGCGCTTTGAATACCAATCCCATCCCACCATCTGATGATAAAGGATAAAGCACACGACCGAGACACTTTTCTCATAAAAAGTGTTGTCTTTCAAATTTCAGTGTAGCTGAGAAGGGGTGTGGGGAGGGCGGTGTTCTCCCCCAACCCCACCTTTTGATCATCCCCTGACAAGTCATAACTAGTGTGGCAAACGATTCGGCTAAAATAAAAAGCAGTGCTTGCCGGTTTTAACCAGTGTCAATTCTTCAAATCTTTTGACCTATTTTGATTCATCATATCTTTTGACCTATCATATCTTTTGACCTATTTTAATTCATCATATCTTTGTAAATACTGAATAACATTTAACTGTTTCTTTTAGAGAGGTAACTTTTACAATCGTAGCTTGAAAAGGATTTGAAATCCCTCAAATAGAAGTCAGGGAGTTTAAGGGAATTTTAACTTTTTTGATTTGTGAAAAGATGTTGAATTGGGTTGATTTAACAGTTGGAATTCGTTGTTTGAACAAAATTTACCTGAAAGGCTGA